GGACGGTCAGAAAGGCCTGCAGAAAGCTGAACACCGCCAGCCCTCCACAAAGCAGAAAGACAAAACAGGAAAAGAACCAGACACCCACCAAATACAAGCGTGCACGCCACGGGAGCGGGGAGCATGCCTGGCCAGCCTTGGGGTGCACGGCTGCGAGCTCACCCCTGCCCAGCCGCACCCTTCACTGTAACCCCGATCACTAAAAGGGATGGAAATGCAATAGCTAAAAAATAAGAATTCACTTTGCTGCAGGAGAGCTGTTATTTAATCAGGCATATGCTGGTTTTTAGCTACGGCTGCTCAACTGCCAAGGCTGGTGACCCAGGTTGTGACACCCAGACCCCAGGCCAGGAGTGAGGGCCTGCTGCCCTGCCGGCAGCCCTGGGGTAGGACTGTGGTGCTAAAACAGCATGGGCTAGCCCGGCGAGGCGGCTGCGGAGTGAGAGGGAAAGCAAGGACACAGCAAGATTGCTGGCAGCTTGCATTAGCGAGCTGAGCAGCGTAAGGAGAGGTTGTCACTTCAGCCAAACCTGCCCCAAGCCCCGGGCCTGGCATCCCTTGGTGGCGATGGCGGAGCGCGAGCCCGGCTCGTCAGTGCGCCCGGCACAAACCATCACGCAAGACCAAAACCACAGCAGAGCTTTTGGAGCAACACCTGAGCACCGCTCCCGTTTCTACATCCTCCTCCCTCCACTATCGCAGGTGCAACCCACTGAAAGATGACCCTCTCGTCAAGGACGCCTGTGTCGGGCACAAGGGCTTAATGTTTGCCAGCAATGCGGCACAAAGTTCTCGTGCTGCCTTAGGAAGCCCGGGCCCTGGTATCTGGCTGCTGGGAAAACACTTCTGCTCCACATGCAATTTCACACATCATTGCATAGGTCTTGTGATTCTCCTGCTAGAGCCATGCTTTGCCATCGGAGAAATGCTTGCGCCTCGGCAGAAAAATTCAACTGGATTTTCTTCGTGGATTACCAACTCCGAATTTCAAGCTACACACTCGAAAAACTAAGCTACTTACTACCCAGCAGAGCTGATGCAGTAGCTTGAGAGAGGCCTGTGTTAATGCAGGCACAGAACTAACTGCTTTCTCAATATTGAAAGTAAAGTAAAACTTTTTAATAGGATTGCTGTTTGAACTTTATGGTTCTTTGCAAGATCAAGGCAAATGACATCATCTCCATAACCAAGACCCCTGGTTCTGAAATCTGAAAGGTCACGGTCAATACATATATTAAAAAAAAAAAAAGGAAAGGAAAGGAAAGGAAAGGAAAGGAAAGGAAAGGAAAGGAAAGGAAAGGAAAGGAAAGGAAAGGAAAGGAAAGGAAAGGAAAGGAAAGGAAAGGAAAGGAAAGGAAAGGAAAGGAAAGGAAAGGAAAGGAAAGGAAAGGAGACAAGACTTCTGAGAAAATACGCAACTTCATGTTGTTGCAAGTTACGGAGAGAGCTATTATAAATGAAAGGGATTAGAGAACCACAATCATTTTCTCTTTCTGCACTACCTCTTCTACTCCTTGCCTCCGCAGAATGAATTCTTCACTCTTCAGCAAAAGCAAAAAGAAAAATATTTTGATAATATTTTGAGAATTCGATTATAAACCCACAAAGCCACAAAAACTGGCAAAGGACCTAAAAGGTGTAACACTTGAAACTGCCAATTCATTTATTTAACTGAGTGGATTTCAGATAGTTTCCTTTTACCAGTCAAACAGTGACTTGGGGTTAGCCCCGCTGGGGATTGAGTCGTTACAAGGCCGCATGTCGCCGGCAAAAAAAAAGTATTTCAAAGTGCCTCTGCTCCAGCACGGGGCATCCAGCTCCGAGCAAGGCACTGTCCCGCACTGGATGAGCGACAGGCTTTTGCTCGGGACCTGGGAGAAAAGCAACGCACTGCGCATGCAGGTGCCTGGCTGAGGTGCTGGGAGAGCAGCTCCAGAGCCTGAAAGGGATGAGGTTTCAGTCAGTGCCCCACGCATGAGCACGTGAAGGCCCTTGTGTCACACCGATATCCATGACCTCTAGCACTGTCCAGATACATCTGCCATCCCTCACCTTCATGGGGCTACGGACCGTCGTGGGGCATGGCGACTCTCCACATTTCCTTTCCAAGGTGTGCTACCGAGCAAAAAGAATTAATGATTTACTAGGCCAATTAAAAAAAAAGAAAAAGAAAAAAAAGAGGAAGCTTAGTGATTAAGGCAGGCAACCCAGGAGAAGGGAAACCTGGGGTCTAGTTGCTGGTCCAAGAAGTGTTTATTCATTTGGCTGTAGACAGCCACCTGAGAAAACACATCAGAGAGCGGGAATTAGACACCCTGGTTCTTCCTCCTCCACCAAATGAAATCTCACCCCTGCAGATGAGGAGAAGCCCTGTTGCCAAAGGGGAGGATACCTCGGCAAAACCAGCAGTTATCTGGCAGGCAAAGCTTCCTGAGATGTTGGACATGCGGGTGTATACTCCCTGCCAGGCTGGAGAAGGTCTCATAGGCAAACCTACCTTTACCTCAAGGGAGGCCTTAACCAAGGAGCTGCCAAGAAAAGCGGGGGCTTCTCCTTGGCTGCATTTGTGCACAAGGATGGCATGTGAGTGACAGCAGCTGGGCCAGAGGACGCCTGCCAGCTTCGGGACATGGAGGTTCTTGGGAACGGTGTCCCCCACAGTGTGCCGAGCAGCTCCCCTCTCTCAAGGCATGAGCAGCTCCTGGCTGGCTCGAGCAAGGAACAGCAAGAAGCCAGAGATTTCTGCCACCGTTCTGGCTAGGCAGGCACTCAGAGGATGTTCCACCTAAGGTCAACTTCAGACATCTAAATCCTTCCCCATATCTGGCCTTAGCTCTCAAACAGAATAAAGAACCACAATAAAAGAACAGAATCGGATGAAAACACACAACCATTGCGTTCCCGGTTCAAATGTAAACATTGTCATTTAAAATGATGCTTTCTTGGCTGAATTTTCAACATGCTGCTGCTTCTCTCACCTGGGCTTCTTTACATTCTTTACATCGAAAACGTACTTGTCTACACATATATGACGGTGCCAGTGTCTCCTTCTATAGTTCTCATGCTCTTGCTTTTCCTTGAACAGCTCGAGGAGGAAGCTGTATGTCGGACTAGAAGCGCCCAGAGCTGAGCACGGCTCCCGCACACATTAGGTTGTGTGCACAAAGAGGGAACCCATCACTGCAAGACAATCACAGTTACTTCCCCCGCACTGGCTGCATCACTTCAACATTCCCTACGGCAGAGTCAAAAGTCGCCAAGCACGACAGCCGGCTGCCAAGCCAGTCCTTCTGCAGCTCAAACACCAGGCTCTAAAAAACGAAATGAAGCCATTAAGTTGTCAATCAGAAAGCATACATTATACCAAGTGCTACAAAATCGCAGAGATGAGCTGGTTCTCCTCTTATTTCTTTTGTAACACAATTAAGATGTTATCAGGCCAAAGTACAATATTGTGGTATCCTGGCCTACGTGAAAATCTTTGAAAGCTGCATTTATTTGCCACCAGAACCACAAGCTAATAATACAGCCTCTGTGCAGGCAGTCCCCATCTGTTGCTTTTTTCTAAGTTTCAAACAAACTCATGACGCTGTGTATTGTAAGTGTAAGGGTACTAACAATCCCCAGACACCACTAACAGCAATGTCTAGTGCCTAAAATTTATACTCCACCAGCTATATCCCCTTCCAACCTGCCCCTCCATATGCTTCTTTCCTTCATTTTCCTTGCAATATAAAAAGTTTATGTCCTGAAAATACATTGTCAACTTATAGAACTGATTCGAAAGAAACAGACAAATAAGAAAGAAATTTCAACCAAACTTCAGACCCAAGCGTAAGACACAGGCCCACACAACAGACTCAAACCACGCGCTGTCCAATTTACTCACTGTCTAACATACGCTCATGACTAATTCCGATGCTCCCTTCTCTAGTGCTACACAGCCTTGAATAAATTCACCACTCTGCAACGTACCGGGGAGCCACAACATGAAGGAGGAGAAGGCTACAACAGCCGGTGCTGCTGCTTGTTGCAGCAACCTGCGTGCTAGGGACATCTTGCAGGCAGCCGTGCTGAGTTCCTACAGAGCGTCACCACCTACAAGGTGATCAGCTACTTCAGAAGAGCCATTTACGACGCTTTAATAAGGTTCGTACATGGTGTATGGTGCAAATGCCAAGCTGAAGACTGAGTGCATCTATTAAAGCAGCCTTTTCCACTGACAGATCTTGACAACTAGAAGAAGAAAGAAAAGAAAAATCCACCGCCCCATGCCATCCTTGATTTCATCTGTCTGAAGAGAGGATCCTAAAAGCTGTGTTTGTAACTTCATGTTAGTCTTTTGCTCTTTGTAACCAGCTAGAAGGTTTTGCCTGTGTTTAACAATCCCATGGCCCAAAGGTACCAGCCATTTACCAGACAGACAGGCAAAAGCCACCTTGGGGTAATATTTTGCACATCTTCTTCCATGTGTACATTACAAATAACACCCGGCAGTAAATGGCATCACATGCATCCAAGCTCTGGAGCTTTTGTTTATAGGAAACTTCAATAAACAACTAAACGGTTATCAATAAGAAGCATCTTTTCCTTTTAAAGGCAGTCAGTGTTTATAGTCCGAGTTTCTTGTATTTCTAACCGTTGAGAAACAGCTCCAGCACTCGCCTCATCTGGCCAATCACGCCTGGTAACACCTGTCTTTTCACATTCTCGGTTTTATTCATTATTTATGTTTCTCTTTACACAATACACCCGCAGGACAATACATCTCCAGCATGCTTACGGATTTGATCCAAAGCTTATTGGAGTCAACAGAATGACTTCACTGGCTCTGGAGCGAACTGAGGGCCCCAGCTCCGCAAACGGGCTTCCAGCCTGAGGAGGGACTTACGCACAAGTTAGGCATCCCAGCCCAGAAGTGCAATCGCAAAAATCCCTAACCCTTTAGCTGCTCGTCTTTTAACCAGCCAAGGTCTCCAAATGCCTGAACTGTTTGCAGACTTTTTTCCCCCCAGTTATCTGTTCTGTGAAGAAAAAAAAACACAAACCACCAACAAACCCTCTAGCGATCCATGAAATAGGGGATCAGCGGATAGGTCTCCCTCTCCCAAGTGTGGTCCCAACCACTAAGCGTTGGAGTAATTTTAAGCGTGTGTGTATATATGTGTGTGTGTCTGAGTCTGTATATGTCTGCATATTTCTATATACATACGTATATAAATACACAGAAACACACACACACGCATGCACACACATTTTTTGCTCCCCCTTCTGGCCCCATGAATCTTGAATTGTTTTTTTCTTGGTGGAAGCAGGGGAGAGCAGGAGAACGATCCTGCCTCCACCGTGACTTGTAGCCAGGGATCTGCAGCACTCCTCTGGGAGATGCGCAGCGTGGGTGCCTGCTGAGAAAAGGGCCCCAAAGCCTTACTCCCTCCGTTAGGGCAGCATGTAGGTGTCCTCTGGATCCCCGGACCCGTTAGCAGCGGGAAGGCAACATCTTCATTTTTTACCAGAGGTGGCCAAGGCGGGTGGCACATTACTTAGCCTAACACTGACTTAGCAAGAGACCCAGTGTTAAAAATTTAATGTGGTAATGCTTCACAAACACCAGGCTTGCAAACCATGTTAACTGGGAAACATATACTGTATTTTACATTCCTTCACATACATCTCTTAAAGGAGTGCTGTGTAACTGAGTCAGCTCTCTGTACTTCACAGGGGACCGGACCTGAAATTGCCGGTGTCCTACTGAGCTGACCTCCATTTCTAGGTGACTTATGACAGCTCTCAGCCCATATGTAAAGTTTCTTCTTCAGCATAAACTTTTGCCATTTCTTCCTCCAATGCGTTAATATCATCAGCTTTACACATACAACAGGTTTGGTTTGCGGGAGAGTGGCTGGGACCACATTTTGTTACAGTATATCAATTAATATAGGAAAAAAGGAGAGTAATACCCTTCCAATTACAATGCGGTTATTTATTTTGGAAAGAGAGAGGAAAAAAGCAAGGGCTTTTAATCAACCACCAGTGTAAAAGCTGTCCATTTTCCAAAAGTGGAAATCTTCCCTTTCTGGATGATGCCGAAGCCAGCCCCGGCTGGAGGTGATCTCTACCCCAGAAACACAGTCACCCATCGGATCACAACAAATACTCATTTTCCAGAACAATCCCCTGGACACAGCTCCCGGCACCTTTGTCTGGTCTCCAGACAAAGACAGATTTTTCACACTAGGCATACCCTGTACCGTAAAACCCCGTTCCCACCACAGCTGTAGACGCCACCTGCCCGCCCGTAGCACCGGGATCTCACGTTTTTCACGCGCCCGCCTGGCGCGTCACCCCTAATGGGCAGGGATGCTTGCACGCATGGACACACACACGTGGTCACTGCTGCACCCGTGCCTGGGAC